AAAGAGACCTTCTCGATGTACTTCCTATTTACATTATTAAGCAATGCATTGATGCTTTCTATTTATCACAGAATCAATCATTCCACATTCAACACTGATATAATAATCAGAAATGTTACTTGAGCAGCAAATCCTCAAGTAAGGATCATGTGACACTGAAGGATGGTGAAAATACAGCTTTGATCACAAGAATAAATTACACTTTACTATATAATAACATAGAAAACAGCCATTTTAAATTATAATATTATTTCACAATATTTACTGTAGTTTTGATCAAACAAATGCAGCCTTGACTATTTTTAAAAAATCTCATGCATTAAAATAATTATTACTGCACATCATGACAGGTTGAATCTCTCTGAATATTTCATGTTGACGTCAGAGGTCAAGTGTGTAACCTCACCAAACAGAAAATTATGATTATTTCCAAACAGGTTTCCCAAAGCTTTTAGTCATAATTTACCATTTGAGCTTCATCTCTGAGAAGGTCTTCATCGCTAACATACGAATATTAATATTCAAAGAGACAGAACTCCTGTAAAGATCATTTTTTGTGCACTTTTCTTCAAGATTTGAGTACTCTTTTATTTATGAAAGTATTGATATATGAATCATGTATAGTTGTTTCGACTGCAAAGACGATACGCTCTGTGAAAGCCAGCTTCTTGTTTGCTGTGACCCCCCTCAAAAAAAACATGTAGGATTTTTACCGTGTTGCCTTGATGCCAATGCGAACCAGAGCGAGAAAGCGACCCGGATGCCTTCAGCGCCGTCTCTAATGGGTGAAGAAGTGCTTCCATGTGGAGTTTCTCCAATGCATCCACGGCGAAGAGAGGAAACGGCCTGGGATGAGAGGATGTTTGTTACATGTTTTAACTTTTCCCATTGCACATCAATCATTAGAGATTATTCTATAGAATTATTGACACAATAATATATTTTTTCAGAAAAGCCAGTCAAGTAAAGTGAATGAGTCCGATTGCAATTGTAATGTTTATGATCTGAACCCCCTTTTCTCTTATTGATCTTATGGCTCTTTGTTTTGGTCCAATAATGCCACAAAAAACACTGTGTACTACCAGAACATCAATAACTGTAACTGTATGAAGTATTATTATTGTACACACACCACATGTCCCTCTTGTAGAAATCAATGAATGTTATCATGGCATAGCAGTGCAATTTTGATTTTAATTTATATATATATTTTGTATATTTAATTTTTTTTTTTTTTTTTACATTTTTTTTATTTATTTTTGTTTGTTTTATTTTTATCTTATTTTCATTCACTAGGGTGATTTTTCAATGAATTGAGTGGGATTACAATGGAAGCTTGTTTCTGTCACCGGATAAAACAATTTTTATCTCACAATTCTGACTTTTTTTCAAGCAATTCTGACTTTATATCTCACAATTCTGACTTTAACTCGCAATTCTGACTATATCTCGCAATTCTGACTTTATATCTCATAATTCTGACTTTAATTCGCAATTCTGACTTTATATCTCGCAATTATGACTATATCTCGCAATTCTGACTTAAACTTGTTATTCTGACTTTATATCTCGCAATTCTGACTTTAACTCACAAATCTGACTTCGCAATTCTGACTTAAACTCGTTATTCTGACTTTAACTCACAATTCTGACTTTATATCTCGCAATTCTGACTTAAACTCGTTATTCTGACTTTATATCTCGCAATTCTGACTTTAACTCACAAATCTGACTTCGCAATTCTAACTTAAACTCGTAATTCTGACTTTAACTCACAATTCTGACTTTATACTCGCAATTCTGACTTAAACTCGTAATTCTGACTTTAATTCGCAATTCTGACTTTAACTCGCAATTCTGACTTTATATCTCGTAATTCTGACTTTAACTCGTAATTCTGACTTTATAACTTGCAATTCTGACTTTATAACTCGCGATTCTGACATTATATCTCGCAATTTTGACTTAATAACTCACGATTCTGACTATCTTGCGATTCTGACTTTATAACTCACGATTCTGACTATCTTGCGATTCTGACTTTATAACTCACGATTCTGACTTTATAACTTACAATCCTGACTTTATATCTCGCAATCCTGACTTTAACACGTAATTCTGACTTTATATCTCGCAATTCTAACTTTATAACTTGCAATTCTAAATTTGTAACTCACAATCCTGACTTTAACACATAATTCTGACTTTATAACTTGCAATTCAGCCTTTAACTTGCAATTCTGACTTTATATCTCGCAATTCTTACTTTATAACTTGCAATTCTGACTTTGTAACTTGCAATCCTGACTTTAACTCACAATTCGGACCTTATAACTCAGGATTGTCAAGCAATTCTGAAGAAAAGTCAGAATTGTGAGGAAAGACACCCTGCTTGCTTCCATCTAAAGGAAAACGCCTGAAGCAATATGAATTAATCCTGTAATGTTCTCCATACAGTCAGTCTGATCGGTTCGGTTCATCTACTGATATTGTTGCATGTGTGCAGTCTACTACTTTGCCATTATTATTGAATGCCATTGATAAATAGGTGGTTTGTCATAACACTGCACAATCAGCCGTTATTGAGGTTATTTCCACCCTTTACTCTTGCGTATGTTCATAGATGTATTATAGCGACACCTTCAGTGCTTCAGTGTGACCCAGCCGTAACAATTGTAAAGATTTCTAAGGCCTTATTTTTATACCTGCACTCATCAGAGGCATTTCTCTCATTCCCGTGTCCTTTATACAGTGTGTGTCCTGTTGGCCCATGTGTTCTCAATGATATAGATGTGTATTTTCGGGTTTGATGATATTTTGCATTTCGGCTGTTACAGAAATACATTTTTCTTACCAGCTTGCCTGCGTTCTTGATTTGTTTTCAAGTGTCTGCGTTGAGTTTATTTATTTAGGGTTTCTTACAGAAGAATCTCTCTATCTATCTATCTATCTATCTATCTATCTATCTATATATCATCTATCTGTCTCATAGCTCTCTATAATTTGTCTATCATCTGTCTGTCTGACTGTATCTATCTGACCATCTGTATATAATCTGTCTATCATCCATCTGCCTATCTATCACTCATATATATATATATAATCTAGCTGTCTATCTATAATCTGTCTGTCCGACTGTATCTAACTGACTATCATCTATATGTCTATCATCCATCTGACTGTCTATCTATCAGGACTATATTTGTATCTAACTGTCTGTCTATCATCCATCTGCCTATCTAATCTATCTGTCTATCTATCAGTCTATTTATATAGCCTATATCAGTATCTATCTGTCCATCATCCATCTATTTAAAGTGGCATCCATCTTAAAAAGTATGCATTTAATCTCACTTTATTCAACAACCATACTAATAAGAAACATGACTTTATTGTAGTATGTATAACTTATAATTAGCCTAACTTTAAAACTTTTATACTAGGTTTTTAAAAACAATAAAAACGTAATAATAAAAATATGGAAAGAACGAACTTTTTACATTTATAAACGAACTTTTATAGTCAATTGTAATGACTTCTAAGACAGTTAAAATGTCACTATTGCCCGAAATATTCTTTATTAGAAAGGTTAAACTTTTAAACTGCCGTTTATTTGCATTGGCATTAGTCTGATCAAATGTTGTAGCTAAATGTGTCGATTGGTGCTAGCGACTCGAACCCCCCAGCTTCTCGGTCCAGCCCGGATCTTTAAGCGCTAGGTCACGGACCCTGATAGATCTCCAGTGTTTGCTCAGCAGGGCACGTGCATGTGCTGGAGACTCACATTCATGCGCGCGGAGGCGTCACACACACCATCCAAGAGCTCACACAGTCGAAGTATCTTCCGGGAATCTGTGGATTATATCGGTAAGAACACCTAAAAGCTTCGTTGAAGCCTTGCGACCTTTGATTTGGCTGTTTACGTGCGTTTTAAACGCGCAAAAGCGTCGCGTTTCCTCCCCGAACGCGGTTGTTTTGCAGAAAATGGCGTCATGGTTTTGTTGTTCGGCTTGTGGATGACGAAGAGACGATCGGTTTTGATTCCGCGCGTGATTATAAAAGTTGTAACTAGTTTATTAGATGCGGATGACTGTTGTTAGCAACACTGTTTGTGTTTTGTTGTGATATTTATCAAGTGTGACTCAGGAGAGCGCGCGCAATGGCGCGAGGCTCTCCAGCGCCGCGCGCAATGACGAGCAAAGCGCAGCGCGTGCCTGAGGTTCGGTTCCGCGCGGCTGGATGTTGATGTGCTGTAAAGTTTATTTTCCGTGTTTGATTACGTTTTTATGATTTTTCCATTTGCGTAAATCGTCTGCGGGTTTAAAAACGCGTTGTATGCGGTTCTTCCTCGTAGCTGGCTCGTTAGTGTGAACTTTGGTAGTTTCAGATTGTGGATTAAAGTTTTAAAAATACTGAAAAAATATGTTGGCCGTTTAGAGTGACAACATTTTTACTCAAACAAAAGTCAAAGTATCCGAGCAAAAACGTTTCTACTTAGTAACTTAGATGTTAGTTTGATGCAATAAAAGCGTTGAAAAGCAACTTGTTTTAACACCATTTCTGAATGTCCTCACTTCTTGGACAAACCAAAACAGCATTAAACTCACCAGAAACTGATTTTATAGGTTTTGGACATTTGATGATGACAGATAAAGTCATTGTCAGCTGGTTTCTTGGATGCAAGTGTTCATTTTCTATAGCACTCAATCAAGTACAGTACATTCTCCAACATCATACTTAAGCAAAGTCTTGCAGAACAAGTCACTTCACACACTTCTGAGTTTTCAGACTGGCAGTCTTCAGGAGATTTTGACTGAACATGTAGGAGAATAGGCAGACGTAACTTGATGTAACGTTGATTTATGAATAGATGCTATCTTATCTCCAAATTTGGAAACTGGAGATTGTAAGCTTTCAAATGATATATAGTATGTCGATATTACTTAAGATATTATTGTTTTAAAAATATAGTGGGAAACGTCCCACCTGTGGGACGTGACATTTAAGGGGTTAAACAATATAAAAAGTTCTGTTTTTGCCAAATTTAAGGGCCCTTTCACACCAAAAGAGAAATGAATAACCCTCAGGCTGATGGGAATGCAAGTTCACTCCTGTACAGTAGAGGGCGCAACTCAAACAAACCTTCAGCTGTTCTGCAGAAGAGGACGCAGGAAAAGAAAGTTCAACTTCGGCAAAATAGTGAAACACAAATGCGACGTTTATCTTATTACTATGGTTCAGTTAGATCATTGAAGGTCAGCAGCAAAGACATTGGTTAATAAAATGAGATTAAATACATAAAGTATATTTTGTGTCATTTAACATTTTAATTATTGCAGGTTTGCATTATTATGACTTATTATCACTGTTTTTATTCATTTTGAGGAATACTGAATTACTTATTTATAAACGTAACTCAGATATTGTGTTGCAAATACACAAGTAATGCATTACTAGTTACTTGAAAAAGTAATCTGATTACATAACTAATGTTACTTGTAATGCGTTACCGATAGTACGGACATCTCTTCAGTACAGTTTGGAGTCACTGTTCATTGATTCGCTGTTCTCCGTCTCCACAGAGGCACGTCTGAAGTGCTGTAGAGATGGAGGAACCCCGTTCGACCCCAGCCAATGAGAAGTCTTGCCAGACGGATGACATCACAGGAGAGGCCGTTGTACCCGGGCCTGACCATGCGAGCAAGACGCTAGGTAAACTTTCACTTAAATGAATATTAAATGAATAATGTGAATGTCATCTATGACACGCATTTTAACTTGACCAATAGGATCCATTCTGACCTGTCCACATGAACGGACATAATCCGAATGCACTTTAATAGCGGCCCATCCGCTCTGATCCTTCGACATTAGAGGATTACAGCAAATTCCTCCAGTGCCGGCTATTGTCCTTCACTCAGTAGGGGCCACTAGAGTCTGTGACCCTTACAGAGGTCACGCCCCATCACACACACACACACATACAGGGTGAAACGGTAACATTGATTGGTCTGCTCTTTGCCCCTGTTATAGTGGGAGGGCAAGAGGCCACGCCCATGTGATGATGTGTGCATGGGGGGAGGGGCTTAAGTTTGAATATGGTAGTTTTACTTCCTGTTTACATTCTTTTTCTAATAATAGTACGACTGTTTTCTTTAAAACCAAAGAAAAATAACTTTTTTTCCAAAATTTTTTCCACTTTGTATTTTGTAGTTAACTTAGTTCCTTTGAACGATCTCAGCAGTGTTATTTTAATATTATTTATATACTGCTGTATTAAAGTGCTGATTCATATTTTGAATTGGCTTTTATTTTTATATTCAAAGTATTAAATTTATTTAGTGTAATTTTTGTAATTTTTATTTACTTTTTTAAATTTGATATTTTGAATTAGCTTTTATATTTTTTTACGGTTTTATTATGATTTTTTTAGTTTTCTTTTTTTACGCTTTAAATTAGCTTTTATATTTTCCGTTTTCATTATAATTTAAGCTGTAGTAATTATGTTTATGTTTTGGGCATTTCTATTAGTTTGTTTATTTGTTAATATTTTGAATTAGCATTTATTTTTGAAATTGAAAGTTTTAGTAATTTGAGTAATTCATTTAAATTAGTAAATTTGTTTAGTGCTTTTGTAATTTTTTATTTACTTTTTTAAATTTGATATTTTGAATTAGCTTTTATAAAGTTTTATTATAATTTTTTTTTTATTTGTCATTTTGTTGTGTGTTTTATTTAACATTTTAAATTAGCTTTTATATTTTCCGTTTCCATTATAATTTAAGCTTTAGTAATGTTTGTTTTGGCATTTCTATTAGTTTGTTTATTTGTTAATATTTTGAATTAGCATTTATTTTTTAAATTGAAAGTTTTAGTAATTTGAGTAATTCATTTAAATTAGAACATTTGTTTAGTGCTTTAGTAATTTTTTATTTACTTTTTTAAAATGTGATATTTTGAATTAACTTTTATAAAGTTTTATTATACTTTTTTTTTTATTTGTCATTTTTTTGTGTGTTTTATTTAACATTTTAAATCAGCTTTTATATTTTCCGTTTAAGCTTTAGTAATGTTTCTTATGTTTTTGGCATTTCTATTAGTTTTGTTTATTTTTTTATATTTTGAATTAGCATTTATTTTCAATTTTAAAGTTTTAGTAATTTTACTACTTCAACGTTAACATAGTTATTTATTTATTTAGATGTATTAGTTGCCCAACAAAACTAATATCATCTAATATTAATACATTCTATTATTTCAGCTTAATTTCAGTCACCGAAAACCGATTTTTAATAGTTTAACTTACAGTTATAACAATAACAACCCTGTCATGTACTACTTTCAGGCAACTAGTGAGTCAATCAAGTGTCATTTACCAGCCAAAACCAATTTTTCTTTCACCTACCATTGGACAAGTGCTAAATGTGTCCCCTTGGGCTGTAATGGACCGACTGAACGGTCTGGTGGACCAGAAGCATCAGTCAGTGGTGTTGAAGTGGCGATTGTAGACGGCCAGCTCCTCACCTATCGGTCCTTATATTGGCCGATTTCCAGCCAGGAAAATCCCTCACACAGACATAAAACACCTGCAATATAAGGCGAGTCTCTGAGGACCTCTCTAAACACACCGCTGCGTTCCAGCCATAAATTCCCCAGCATCCCCATCATCAATCTCTGACTGATTGGTCGCTTTATCCACAGCTGTGTTCATGCCCCGTATTTTACACACGATTGATTTTCCACCTCCTCATGTAGTGAAGAGTTACTGTCTCCCACTGTGTATCTGTTCCCTTATAGCTCTAGTGACGCAAAATGCTCGTTGTAGATAAGCGCTACATCTCTAGATTTGAAAGAAAATGGGGCTTTGTTTGTTCAAATCACCACGATAGATTGAGCAATAATAATACTACGAGTTGAGTAACTCGAAAACTTCAGTAATTCAACATAAAAGGTGAAATCAATATATTATATAGACTCTAATAAGATATTTCAAGCCGTTATTTGTTATAATTTTGATGATTATGGCTGACCGCTATGAAAACCCCAAATTCAAATGTAGGTTTTTATAAGCTATAAGCCATAATCATCAAAACTATAACAAATAACGGCTTTAAATATCTCACTAGAGTCTATATAATTTATTAGTTTCACCTTTTAAGTTGAATTACTGAGCTTTTGCACGATATTCCCTATTTTCTGTAATGTTCTCCACAAACTAGCGCTTCATTAATCACAACCGTGAAATATTGGCAAACGTAAGAGATGTGATCCGATTTATGCAGTGTTAAATCAAGGCTTTTGTTTCAGAGCCAGATGCTTTCGCAAACACTCATCGAGACAGTGGCAGCGGCCATCAATAATGCAGACTTTAATAAAGTCTCATTTAGAAAGCTGAATGGATATGATTCATATCAGTGAGATCTGCCATCCAAAACATACTGGCATGAGCACAGCAAGCTAGACTTCAGATCATCATTTGTGAGTAATGAGATTCAGCCTGTCATGAGAGAGATAGGCAGTATTATAACCGAGGCTCTTGATTCATTGGGTGTTTTCTGTGATGCAAAGGAAGGACGTCACATTGCCTTTTCTATTCCCTGGTTACACCTGCAAAATGAACCTTAGGTCTGATAACACATTGGTATCGAGGTGACCGTTCTCTTGATAATCGAAGCGATAATCCGTGTGTGGAATGTGACGAAGTACAAATACTTTGTTACTTTACTTAAGTACATTTTTCAAGTATCTTTACTTTACTTAAGTAGAATAAATAGCGCATACTTTTTACTTTTACTTTGTTACATTTTGCAGCGATTATTATACTTTCTACTCCACTACATTTCTACAACTTCTGTTACATTTTCATTACATTTTCTGATCAGTTTTTCCCCTGCCAAAAAAACGTTATCTGACCGTCCATTCGTTGCACGTTTGTCTCACCAGTGACGTTTGGTTGCCATAGATACATCAACCCGGTCAAACTAAATAAAATGCGTCTCGCACGCAGTACATTTATAGTGCAATTTATACCGGAAAATTTGTTTTTACGTGCATAGGAAATGCACCGTGTGTAATATACGTTTGGTTAGGATTATGGCAAGCCAAGAGGTCCAGAATTACACCATAAATTAATCGCATTTAACCCCTTAACGTCTGAATTTATATAGCTGTATATAAAACAATGTTTTATTTGTGTTTTTGCCTTTAAGTAGATGGTAAATAATGTTGAGATTATCAATTTCACTTTTGCACAACAAATAAATAGAAATTTTGGTATGTTGCAAATCTGCAACAACGGGCATAATGGTCAATTTGCTATGTTGAAAATCTTCAACAGCGGGCATTAATGGTCAATTTGGGGTCAATTTGGTATGTTGCAAATCTGCAACAATGGGCATAATGGTCAATTTGGTATGTTGCAAATCTGCAACAATGGGCATAATGGTCAATTTGGTATGTTGCAAATTAGGTATGTTGCGTTAATGCCAAAAAATAGTTATTAACATATAGTAAGGATAAGCATGATGTGTATATTGCCTAATTGCAAGCTTGTTTCAGAAATGGTGACAACATTTTTTTCCATCATTATTGAACATCAGTATTAGGTTGAATGAGTTAGAATTAAATGTTTTATTAATCATTAGAAAATAGACATTAAGAAAATAAATTATGCAAGTACTTTTAATACTTAAAGTACATTTAAAATCAGGTACTTTTTACTTAAGTATGGTTGTCATTGTGTTATTTCTACTTTTACTAAAGTAAATATGTATCTGGTTATTTGTACTTTTACTTAAGTACTGAGATTCAGTACTTCCTCCACCACTGGCGATAATTCATGGTAATAGCGTTAAAGTTATTGTCTGTGGTGTGAATGTGCATTGAGGCTGTTCTAAGTGCAATAACGATGTGTTTTTCTGGTGCAGTTTATTCAACAGAACCTGGAGATCCCGCTCTGCTACAAACACAGATGCTCACGTCCAAATCCGGCATCCATCAGATCATCGAATGTTTCCGCACAGGTGCTTTGTGTTTCCTCACCTCTTTATAATCATAGTAGTACTTTCGATGAAGCACCGTTCGTTCGTTCGTTGTTCTCGAATCTCAATGACTCGTATCCCTGCCCTCTTGTGTTTATATGCAGGCACTGCACAGCTCAAACACATTCTCCTAAAAGAGGTGGACACAATCTTTGAGTGCAAACTCTGCCGCAGTCTCTTCCGTGGCCTTCCCAATCTCATCAAGCACAAGGAAATCTATTGTTTCACTCCTGATGGTTAGTATAATATCGCCTTTCTGCGGTTCATTCAATTCACACACACACACACACACATACAGGGTGAAACGGTAACATTGATTGTTCTGCTCTTTGCCCCTGTTATAGTGGGAGGGCAAGAGGCCACGCCCATGTGATGATGTGTGCATGGGGGGAGGGGCTTAAGTTTGGATATGGTAGTTTTACTTCCTGTTTACATTCTTTTTCTAATAATAGTACGACTGTTTTCTTTAAAACCAAAGAAAAATAACTTTTTTTCCAGCATTTTTTCCACTTTGTATCCAAACTAGAGGCAGACCGATATTATCGGCCGATATTAGGCATTTTCCAAACAATCGGTATCGGCAGTTATAATGGCCGATAAATGAATATTTCTAAAATAAAATAAAAACGGACGAAACACGCTTGAACCATGTCGTAAGTGTTGGAGTTGTATAGTTCCCTCCACCAGAGGGCACTCTACACCGTTCCTGTTGGCAACACTCGTTGAGTTGGTCATTGCTTGAATAACAATTAAAAGAACATCCCCATCAGTTCTCAAATAAGCATGACAAATTTGTGACTATCATGTCCAGTTTTGCTGCTGTTAAATAAGCCGAGAGAGAAGCGGATTTAGCTAGTAATAGTTATGTTATGTTGTTACAGTGTAGTTGACTGACTGTCCTTTTAAATTTTGACCATGTGATTGAAGTATTTCTTTACTAGCGCGTGACATTTATAGCAATGAGACGTATCATCTCTCCTTGGCCTGTTGTATGTTTTACAATTGGCACTATTATGTTATCCATTGCTAAATTATGGCTCATTATAGACTAGCTAACCACAAAGCTAGCTAATGCCGCTATCATCAGTCTGTTCTGTTGTGACAATAAAAGAAACAAGTGTCTTTTTAAAATGCATTATGATATTATTTTAGTTCAAACTCATAAATAACTACAAATAACTAATGTTAGGGAAATCTGTTAATGTTTTGTTGCGCGTTTCTGAAATAATTAAATATATATCGGATTTTGAAACCAAAAAATATTTGTATATCGGTCTGAGTTTGCCATGATATTTTCCGTAATTATGTTTTGGTGACGTTGATTCTGCCCGTTCTGTTTATCTTCCAGCATCTAATTGCGCGATCTTATTTAGTGTTTGTGCTACTGTACTTTTAAGAAAGACTTCTATATGTAAATTTGATTGTTTTAACTATAACACATTTTACACTGCCATTCATCAGGATGCATTACTGTATTCCGTCGATCCTTTTATTTTTGTGATAAGGGTCTTTAAACTGAACAAAATTAATCACACAATTGATAACTACCGTCGTGATTTAAAGTAAAAGTGAAAATGTATTACATTTAGTTCCTGTTTTTTTTAATTATTTTGAAAAAAAAAATTGATATAATTTGTATAATAAAATGACACTAATCTCATAACATTATGCAATTATTCCACCTTAAAACACATCAGCTTCATTTGCGTTTGTTGATGTTGTTAGCATTTTATTGGTTACACGCCTGTTCTGAGCAATTGAATCAACTGAATCAATATAATAATTAGACAACACTAATGTTTAATAATGTAATTATTTAATAAATGCCCCTGAAAATCAATTACAATTGAATAGAAAAGTGAATTTCTTACCCTGGTTGTGATTTTATAACTGAATTTGATATCTGAACTCATTTTTGCAGGTTAGTTTCAAAAGGGATATCTAGTGTTATAGTATTTCTAAATGTAATATTAAAAAAAGCTGTTTTCCATAATACGATCCCATTAACCAACATCTAGTTCCGGTGTGTCTTCTAGACCCCTCTGGAGATGACAAAAAAAGCACGAAAGACCTTATTGAAGCCATCTATTCGTGCTCGGATAAAGAGGAATACGTCCTGAAATTTGAGCCCATTGCCAGCAACCAGAATGCCGTGTACCAGTACCTGTCGAGAGAAGATGACCTGCCGCCTTCATCCCAGAGTCCCAACCACACGACCACAGAGAGCTGGAGACACGACCTATCCGACTCCGACGATGAAGCGGAGAAGAATCGCATTGATGAAGGAGATAACATGGACAAAGGAAAGGAAGATACAGAGGAAAACATGGAGCATCAGGATGACTCCTGCAGATGCCTCCTCTGCAATAAGACATACAGGGTTCGAGGTCACCTTAAGAGACACCTGCAAACTGTTCACAAGATTATATCCTCCGGTTCCTCCACCAGCTCTACTGATCCCACGTCCGAATCCAAGAAAATGGTGAACGGGAAAGCTCCAGACAGTCCCGGCTCCTCCTGTAACTCCCAGAGCCCCAAAGAGGACAAGGTGAAGTCCAAAGCCGGGATCTCCGCGGGCTTTGACTTCAAGTCGCGCTTCTGCAAGCTCTGCAAACGTTCGTTCAGCTCCGTGCAAAACCTGGAGAAACACATCGAGCTGCACACGGACAACGGCACGGACTTCTTTGTCAAGTTTTACAGCTGTCCGCTCTGCCGTTACAAGACACGCCGCAAAAGAGACGTGCTCCGCCATCTCTCGGACTTCCACAAGAAGAAGTCCTCCTACATTTGCCGGATCTCGTCGTCGCTGGAGAGCTACGCCGTCAAGAAGCCGGCGGAGGTCGTGTTGAGCAAAGAAGACGCCAAAGATCAAGGTCGAGAGGAAGTGAAAGTCCAACACAACCACGCTTCGCCATATACGACTCGCAGGAACCTGAAAGCACCTGGCGTGATGCGCAAGACCTTGAAGACTGGGAAAGGAGCCAATGGCAAAAAAGGGAAGGCCGCTAGCCCAAAAGGGAGTGTGAATAAGAAGTCTCTGCATGTGTGCAACACCTGTGGACAGAGCTTTAAAAAGGCAAGGTACCTAGGGTTGCACAAGAGAAGCCATCTAAAGACCACAGGGATCAGAACAAGATCGAAGGTCATGCTTTGGTGAGTGCATCTCCTAATGAGTCATGCTCAACACTAGAGCTGGGTTTCCATTCAAATTTCAAGAATCGATTCCGATTCTCAAGATCTTGAATCGATTATCATTATCCGATTCGATCCGATCTTCGAAATTTAGATAATTGTTTCTGAAAAAAGCATTTTTTCCAGCTGTTACCTGAATTACAGGACTGTACTTATGCAACATATTGATACTATTATTGTAGACATTCAACTGCAAATGAATTGCAGTTGAATGGTTTAATGAATCAAAGTCCATTGTCGTAACAATGTGCACGCTGAGTCAAAGCTTTCAATGCGCACATAGGGATCACTCGCGGCAAGTTAAAGTTCACGGGGAAAATGTAGGCCTATTAATAAATCGATTCTCTGAGCTACGGATCAATCTTTAGAAATGAATATGAAAATTAAATAATTTTTTTTCAACACAGCACTACTCAACACTACATGGTTATTTTTCGCAATACTTTATTTCTTGTCTGCTTTGTCCACCAACTTGCAATGCTTTCTTGACAAATTTGGCTAAAACATCTCAGAAAGCAGATCACTTCATCGCAATGCATTCTGCAGTTGCATTCCCTACAAATATGCATGCAATTCTGCCTTTGTTTGTATTTGGCCAAAACATCTCAAAATGGCAATCACCTCATTGCGTTCTTGACAAAAGATGCTTGCAATTCTGCTTTCTAATGTGGCCAGAACATCTCAGAAGGCAGATCACGTCATCACAATGCATTCTGCAATTGGATACTTGACAAATTAAATTTCTTCCTTTGAATTTGGCCAAAACATCTCAGACGGTTGTAATATTCTCATGCCTACATTTAGGCTCTATCCTGATGCAAAATCAGGAGCTGTGTAGGTGGGAAGCTCACTAGTAATGTCCTGTGCTAGCATGTGTTCGTTCCACCTCTGAACTCCGATGGTGAAGGAGACGGTGTGTAGAGAGAGGAATTGTGCTTTGATTGGCGGATTGTTACTGCAGCCTTGCTGCTAATGAATAAGAGAAATCCCAGGGTGGACTTCCAGCACAGGAGAATGAAGCATGGATGCCACTGCAAGGCCCTGGAAATCAGGCCGACCCGTCTCACCTCGAGCTTTAAAGAGCGGTGAGGGGGGCTTCTTTAAGAAGAAATTAAGATAACTCACCCGTGTCTTTGGAAACAGGGCTCGTATTAATCACACTGCTCTGTCACATGACCCGAGAGACAAGAGAAGCTCTCTGATCGTCAAGTAAGGGTGACGGAGTTGCCTTGGCTATCCATGACCATTCTTGATTTGCTTTTTCCCAGTTAATGCTCCATTTTCTCCCCATGGTGGAAGTCCATACGTCACTCTGACAGTTAGCATTTCACTTGTTCCTTTGGGTCTCAGTGCTGGTGTTGGTCTCTGGGTTGCAGTCAGTCCATCTAACAGGAAAACACATGAAGGCTGGATTACCCGCTGCTCCCAGTCCACATGTGGCAGCGTTACTTACACAATAAACTAGTTACTTGAGCAATAAACTAGTTACTTAAGCGATAAACTAGTTACTTAAGCAATAAACTAGTGACTTAAGTGCTCAAGTTACTAGTTTATTGCTCAAGTTACCAGTTTATTGCATAAGTAACCAGTTTATTGCTTAAAGGAACACTCCGACTTTTTGGGACTTTAGCCTATTCACCTTACCCCCCAGAGTTAGATAAGTCCATACATACCTTTTTCATCTCCGTGCGTGCTATAAGTCTGTTTGACGCACCCACCGCTAGCCTAGCTTAGCACAAAGACTGGATGTGAATGGTTGCAGCTTTCAGACTAATCCAAATGAGTGACAAAATAACGCAAACGTTTTCCTATTTACATGTTGTGGTTTGTATAGTCACAGAGTGTGCAAATATCATGGCCATATGAGACACAGACATCTTTTGACCGTATAAATACTATATTTTCTGAAGGGGAAGCACTGCTACTTGGGCAGAGTGATAACAATCACCTGAGACGCACCGTGACGAGGAGCAGAGAGTTCGCTTCGCTCAGCGTTGGAATAAAGAGTCAGCAATTACTAACGTTAGATAGAAAAGCAAGGTTTATCATGGGTGTTTGCTTTATTGTATGAGCTGTGACAATAAACAGGGGAGACCAGGTAATACAGTACCATGTTTCATTGATTTCCAACCAAAAACGCACCCAGATTTATAAATATCACATGAATAAATAATTATTATTACAGGAATCAATATATTTTAAATGCAATTTATTAGCTGAACCAAATGTATTCAACAGTATACATTTGCCTATATAATACACAGTATTGCATTACTATAGGATAGAATAAGGGGAAAGTAATAGCACAAATTGTTTTTGCACAATGAACTCACAGCCTATCGTACCCTTTTGCACGCTCAAGTTCGTTATTTCCATGGTTATTTCAAATTTAGGCTACTAGGCGCGCCGCGCGCAGGGTGCAAGTTCAACGCGGTGAACGCACTCGTTTTTTTTCCCCAAGCGCGTCCGCACCGCATCAAGATAAAAACATATTCATACCCTAATCATATAATAGTGTCACTAACGTTACATTAGATCTGGCTAAAGGCACTGTTACAGTAGGTCATCTAAAAACATAACGGAACACTTACCTCAGCCGCAGGTGATCCACTTGTCCTGTCTGTGCTATAGATGGGATGGCCGTATCCTTCAGCACATTATGGTCCGTGTGGCAAATTCCATTTTTTCAAAATAGTCGTCCTCATTGAAATGTACCGAGCAAACGTAATGTCCCTTGATAATCTTAGGTGTGTTTGGATAAATATCCAGAGTAAGTTAGCCATTTCTTCATCCAGTCAGCGTTTTTAGTTGGAATTCTGTGAAACATGGTTACCTCCCCTGTTTACAGTCGCAGCTATTTACAATAGAGCGAAAACCCATGACTCTAAACTACGCTTTTACTATATATAAATTGCTGACTCTATTACCCAAACACCGAGCGAACCATCCGCTCCTCACCACGGCGTGTCTCCGGTGATGCGGTTATTACGCCGTCAAAGTAGCAGTGCTTCGCCTTCAGAGAATAGTTCCCAGGTTTTATACGGTTAAAAGATGTCTGTGTCTCATTTGACTTTGTTATTTGTACATTATGTGACTATACAAATCACAACATGTAAATAGGAAAACGTTTGCGTTATTTTGCCACTCATTTGGATCAGTATGAAAGCTGCAACCAGTCACATCGAGTCTTTGTGCTAAGCTAGGCTAGCGGTGGGTGCGTCAAACAGACTTATAGCACGCACGGAGATGAAAAAGGTATATATGGACTTATCTAACTCTGGGGGGTAAGGTGAATAGGCTAAAGTCCCAAAAAGTCGGAGTGTTCCTTTAAGTAACTAGTTTATCGCTTAAGTAACTAGTTTATCGCTTAAGTCACTAGTTTATTGCTTAAGTCACTAGTTTATTGCTTAAGTAACTAGTTTATCGCTTAAGTCACTAGTTTATTGCTTAAGTAACCAGTTTATTGCTTAAGTCACTAGTTTATTGCATACGTAACCAGTTTATTGCAAAAGTAACCAGTTTATTGCTATGTAACTAGTTTATTGCTTAAGTAACTAGTTTATTGCTTAAGTCACTAGTTTATTGCATAAGTAACCAGTTTATTGCTTAAGTCACTAGTTTATTGCTTAAGTAACTAGTTTATTGCTTAAGTAACTAGTTTATCGCTTAAGTCACTAGTTTATTGCTTAAGTAACTAGTTTATTGCTTAAGTCACTAGTTTATTGCTTAAGTAACTAGTTTATTGCTTAAGTAACTAGTTTATATCGCTTAAGTCACTAGTTTATTGCTTAAGGAACTAGTTTATTGCATACGTAACCAGTTTATTGCATAAGTAACCAGTTTATTGCTATGTAACTAGTTTATTGCTTAAGGAACTAGTTTATTGCATAAGTAACTAGTTTATTGCTCAAGTAACCAGTTTATTGCTTAAGTCACTAGTTTATTGCATAAGTAACCAGTTTATTGCTTAAGTCACTAGTTTATTGCTTAAGTAACTAGTTTATTGCTTAAGTAACTAGTTTATCGCTTAAGTCACTAGTTTATTGCTTAAGTAACCAGTTTATTGCTTAAGTCACTAGTTTATTGCATACGTAACCAGTTTATTGCATAAGTAACTAGTTTATTGCTCAAGTAACCAGTTTATTGCTTAAGTCACTAGTTTATTGCTTAAGTCATTAGTGACTTAAGCAATAAACTGGTTACTTAAGCAATAAACTACTGACTTAAGCAATAAACTGGTTACTTAAGCAATAAACTAGTGACTTAAGCAACAAACTGGTTACTTAAGTGATAAACTAGTGACAAAATATAGGACTTAAATAATTTAACATTTAGTATGTCAGCTACTCTATATAATAATGATAATAATACATTGCTAGATTATAATACAAATATTTAAAATAAATATTTATTTAATACATATATTTAAATACGTTTTTAACTGACCATTATGTAACTTACAAGGAACTCCAAGACACTCATGATATATTACTATAGTACGTGCCCATAAAAATATGGTTTTACCATGACACATTTCTGAGACTTCATAATAACTTTCTATCATACTGTTTTGGTGTCTCTTTCTAACTTTCCTGTCTCCCTTCATTAGATGTTTTCTGGCAGCGATCTGGACTTCTGGCAGCGACGGTGGAAAGACATACTGGACAGTGAAGTGACAAAGAAAAGCCCATCATCAGTTCGTAGGGTATAGGAAACCCTCAGAAATGTGCGTTTGGGCTTTTAGGGGCTTTTCTGTCATCCCAAACACACACATTGGAGAATAACGGTACAGTATTTTCAGCGGTGCTCTGGTATCTGTTTATGAGGGGTTCTGACCACTCTCGGATGTAAGAGGAAATATATATATGTCTATTCCCCCGCTGACATCATTAAGATTTGACATTTCCATCCAATAACGTCCAGGCGATTGTTTCAGGGTCCAGTTGTAGTGAACCGGCCTCAGGCGCAGATTCAAGACACACATGCTCTTGTTGCCCTCGGCCTCTGAACGCTGGCTATTGACTCCCATCAGGCTCGTTGGTATTCAGTGACAACATCTGGATGTGTTTCTTCTCCATCACTGGACACTGAAGACCACTGGAACGGCATGAGCTCAGACTCCGCTTCAGTTATATTAAGGGAAAGGGATGTTTTATGCTTGAACAAGCACATGCTCTGGGGTAGATGAGCTTGTGTGAACTGCAGGTGAAGCACTTTATATGAGATTTGTTTAGTTGTGTCCTCCTGTAGTTCTCTCATTAATTCGAATGGGATCCGTTTTAGATTCTTCTTATGTTATTTTACGCTCTTCATTTGTCTATTCACGTCTTCAGATGCATTCCCTGTGCATATCTGTAGATTCTCTGGAACTTCTTGACGGATATTGAAGTGTTATTAGTATGAATTTTTCAGTTTTCTTTGTATTGACCAACAATAAACAAAAAACTAGCATATGCATTGTTTTTCTTTCTTTATTTGTCTCAAATAATATAAAAAAGTTTTTTTTTTTAATAATTTATATAAAAAATAATTTTAAAAAAGTGAATTTTTAAAGGAATTTTGCATTCTCTTCTTTTTAATCAATATTAGCCCATCTAACACTTCACTCTCGTTCTGTATATGCATATGAATTTATTATTGATTATAGAAAGGCTAAAGGATTCTAAATCCCAAAGAGTGCAGTAGTGAATATTTGAGGTTTTGCTGAGTAGTTTGAGTATAATGAGTGAGCAAATATTTTTGACACCACTAGAGGGCAATAGTGCACTGTTTATAAACCAGCTGGTGAAGGATATGGCAACCAAAGCTGATATTCCCCACAATTTTTTTCTGTTTTAAAATGCAAGTTCAATTTATTCAGATGTGTCTTTAGTTAGTTGTAGCTGTGGTCAAAATAACGACTGAATATAATAATAGTAGCCTTTGCATGCTGAAGAGAGTTAGAAACGAGGCTACTTTTTTGCATCCACACTCATTAAATCAATTAATTGAACTAGGGTAATTTAGAGTACATCCAAAAATAATGCGATAGATGACTCCACCAGACATCATAATATTGACACTAAACACTGAAATGCGCGTTAATGCAGTTTTTGTAGATATAAATTATATTTATTTCAAATTTACGTTCGAATCTTTCTTCACATTCTTGCATTTAGTCTCTCCTTTCTTCAACTATTTCTGCTCTTCTGCATCAATTTTTTGTGTGCGCAAGAGTGGGTGTTTCCTTAATCGTTCCGAGGAAACCATCCTGTGCGTTTTCCTTCTGAAATGAGAGCATTCTTCATTTAAGACTGCAATGATGCACGAGAGAGAGAGGGAGAGAGAGAGAGAGAGAGGGAGGATTTTGGTGATGCGCTGTTCATTTCAGCACCACAAACCAGCATCTGAGGGCAGAGAGGAGGTAAGATCTCACATCTTCTGCACTTCCATCTGAGTGTGTTTTAAAATACTGTTTTTATGTTGAAAGTATAATAATCTAGGAGAAAAATATGATCTGCTCGTTCTTTTGTTTGTAATGTTGATCATGGAAATCTTTTGAGCGCGAAAACTGTGAGTGATCAAACAAATAACTTGTGTTTTATTGTGTTACTGAGACCTGGAGGAATGTTGCAGTTGTTACTTGTTTTTAAGATGACAATGTTCACTTAACAGCACTTTATTGTTTTAGACGCAAGAGTTGCGCTTTTTTTTTTTTTCATGCAAGACATTGCATGTTTATTAAGACATGAGGGAGAATGCAGAGGCTGTGTTGATTATGAATCATTGCATTGCATCGAAGAAATGTGCGTAAATGCACACGCATGCATGCTGATTCATACACACGTGTGTTATAAATTCAGAAATGAATCAGAAATGCGCGTGCTTAATGTGAATATCATTAACAGACTCAAAACTCAATTGCACGCGATTGTATTTTTTTTCTCCAACTGCAGTTGAGAGAGCTCTGGATTCCTACGAGACAGGTTCTCCTGGTGGAAATATGAGATGGTTCTGCTTGACACATACTGATTCGTGTAAATTAAAAAGAGAAATGGGGCACACTGCGACTGCCAGGGTAATAACTCCGTCTGTGTCTGGAAGAGAGAGAAGACCTGAGCTCTCATAGAGATTAATCCGTGCAAACTAGAAGAATATGACTCTGAAACAAATCCAATTATGCATAGACCATCTTATATGCAAATGCATTTTCAAGCGAATGCGCACTAGTCTTCCCCAAAGATGACTGGAGAAGAAAAACAGAGAACAGAAAATAGAATACAAAGAGAAGCAGTTAGAACAGATAGCCGTTGTTCTAAAACAGAACGTTTCGAATGTTCTTCTGAAGGTTCTAAAGTTCACGGGAATAATGAGGGGATCTTCCCACAGTGTCTGGGTTAGTGTGGGGATTTCAGTGGCATTAGTGGTTCACCAGGAGAGCTCAATCTCATTGAGAAGTGTGCAGTGGACTTCCTTTACGGTGTGGAGTGATGCTCTTGGCGCACGGAGGCGGGGGATTGCGCAGCGCGCGCGCGTGTGTGTCTCTCTCTCTCTCTCTCTCTCTCTCTCTCGGAAGCGCGAGGCTGTGCGTAACTGTGCGTAATCAAACGATGGCTCTCCATTCTAGTGGAGATGTGGAGGTGTTTTACGAGTGGCTCTCTCTGTCTCGACTCTCTAAAATGTTTTATGTGCCTGGTGTGTGTGTGTGTGTGTGTGTGTGCCAACAACAGTGTAAATGAACTACCTTGGTTTTGGAGCCTAGTGTGGTGTATAAATATGCAGTCAAACCAAAATTTATCCAGACACCATATAGATTTTTTTTTTTTTTTTTTTACTAGTGGGTACAGCAGGACACTATAGTTAATTTATGTAAGTTAGGATAGCAGGGTGACTGAATATTTTTTAGCTTCACTGTGTATGCTTTCTTTTTGAAAATATAATTAAACATTAACATCAAAATATCTCCGTTTCCCCAAAAGTCTAAATATGTGCATCTTAAAAAAAGAATCTATCTGTCACAACTCACCTTGATTACTCCTCGATCCACAAGCTGAAGTGTAAACATCAACCCGACAGCTCTATTGTCCGCGCAAATAGACACATTTCCTCTCGCTGCGAAATGTCTTTGGTTGCCTATGCAAATGTGAGGGAAGAGGCCTTGATTTTGTTGTTTATTCAATGAGGCAGAAATGAAAGACCACACTGAGCTCCAAATGACTGTGATGTAATTTCCTTTCTGTCAAGATGTCCGTGTGTTTGATGAGTTTGCTTTGTTGCTCGTGTCTGATTCATGTTTGATTTGTCTTTGTGCAGCCACTCACACAATGCTTTCTTTCATTTAGATGCTTCTGAAGATGTGAGAGTGTTGGAGGCACTGACGTCTTTTGCTTCTCAGTCACATGACATGCACACCAGGCGTTTGTCCCCCGTGGTCAAGATGCTCGACTTCAGCTTTGAAATGGGAATGGATGTCCCTGTCCACCTGCTTCCCCGTTAGTCCTCAATCCCTATACCTGGAAAATCCCAACACTTTCTGACACTGCCCCCCCAACAGCCCAGTGGATATGGATCTTGTACGCTTGATTCGGACTCAGTGCCAGCTCCTCTTCTTCTTATGCTACTGGTCACCAGTCTCTCTCCAGAAGTTGGAGATGCCACCCATTGAATACGCCCACTCTATCCGGCTCGATGGCGACATAATCCTGGGTGGGTTGTTCCCGGTTCATTCCCGGGGTGAGCGCGGCGTTCCCTGCGGAGAGTTAAAGAAGGAGAAGGGTATTCACCGACTGGAGGCAATGCTGTTTGCCATCGACCTTATCAACAAAGACCCAGAGCTGCTACCCAACGTGACGCTGGGCGCCCGGATCCTGGACACCTGCTCGCGGGACACCTACGCCCTGGAGCAGTCGCTCACCTTTGTACAAGCTCTCATTGAGCGCGACGGCTCGGATGTACGCTGTGCTAATGGAGACCAGCCCATATTTGCCAAGCCCGACAAAATCGTCGGAGTGATTGGTGCAGCCGCCAGCTCGGTCTCCATCATGGTCGCCAACATCTTGAGGCTCTTTAAGGTGAGTTAAGCTCACCTTGTTCTTATGGGGATTGGGAGAGGGAAGCAAACTGTAGTTGTATTCAATGATGACAGATGTCAAGTCCAACTGGTAATTGGCTTTCTGAGGTGTGGGAGTGACCAGACCTATCAAGACCGGAACATATTTGCCAAGTTTGCCAACATGATGAAGGTACACATAAGAGGTCTAACATTGCCTTTCTAGGGCCTGGGAGTGTGAATGATGGTTATAGTCAACGCATTCTCATCCCAAGTCGTCATATACTGACGCTTTTGCCAATGCGTAGACATCCAACACACATGGCACCCTTTAGCGTCAATATAACACGCTTCGGTTATGGGTAGATTTAGGGTTAGACCACTAGGAGGCGCCTTCCATTGACACTAAATGGTGCTATGTGTGTTTGATGTCTACGCATTGGCAAAAGCGTCAGTATGTGATGTCTTGGGATGAGAACGGGCTGTTATAGTGCAGTGTAGCGGTTAAAAGGTCTAAGTCGAAAGGTATAGGTGGGGTCATCACGGTAGATGTGTCTCCATCATGTTTGCCAAAATTATGATATTTGAGGTAAGCAGGTCACATAAGAGGTCCTGTCTTGGGTCTGGGAATGCCTGAACATATACAGCCTGAACGAGGCGTTGAAAGGGAATATAATAAAAACAATGCCGATCTCAATTCGCACTTATTTTACGAAGTGGGTATTTCGTACAAATTCGTATGATTTTTGCTCAATCGTACGTATTTTACGAGTTGTCCAAATTAATATGAATGACCTAACCCTGACCCCGCCCCTAAACATTGGGTTTAGACAAATCGTACAAATCGTACGAGTGAGATTGTATGAATTAGCCACCTCGTAAAATACGTACGAGTCAGCCGTGAGATAGCGTTGGTGAAAATCTACAATGAGACTAGCCTGTATTTTCCAAGTTAAACCAAATTGTTGGGGTCATCATGGCAGATGTGTCTCATATTTTACTCATTGTTAGCGGGTTCACATAAGAGGTCTAACTTTAACTTTCTAGGGCCTGGAAATTGGGCATAGTGTGTTGTTAACAATCAGGTTTGGGAATTGGAAAATACAATCGAGACCAGGCCCTAATGTCGGGACGTATGTGTCTACGTCACGATTGCCAACATTACGAGGGACGTGGGAATGAGGCCAGAGTTTGTATTTGTTGTGAATGGTGGTTATATTATAGCATACCCCATTGAAGTCCATTATATGGTGAAAAAAATCAAAAACTTTAATTTCTTTTCGACTGAAGAAAGAAAGACATGGACATCTTGGATGACATGGGGGTGAGTAAATTATCAGCAAAAGTTTTTTTTTTTTTAAAGTGAACTACTTTAACAGTCTAGACCGGGCTGTTGGTAAAAATGGCAATCCATGGCCATTGTATCCTCTCTTGTACGGATGAGTCTCTGCCTGCTTTATTCTAGGAAGCAGACAAGGTCTTCATAACCACTGGTGACCTCACATAACTCAAACTATGGTTGTTTGTAATATGATGTGACAGAGAGTGGCCTGGAAGAATCTCAAGGCAGGATGATTTCGGAGAATGATACCACCCAAACTCTATTGTAGTCTGAATGTACAGCAGAAAGATGATGTTTCTGGCCAAATGCGACAGTGAAATAAACTCCGGCATTTTGCTATGCTTGTCGGTGGGAATTATGCGAACCAGGGGGCTCTTTCGCTATTTATGAACGTAAACAGCTCAAGTTCAGCAGTGACAACGTGTTACAATGCAGTCCTTTCTAGAAGAACAACGCCTCTAGGAGCTGGAACGGATCGCACGGACTACCTCCCGTATACGTGTCTGTGGACTGAGCTTCAAGTGGCCTCTTGACAACAATAGATTTTAACACGGTCATGTTTAATAAGCGGTCTAAATAACACTTCTGGCCGACTGCTCATTGCAGTTGTCATAGGAACAACTCACGGCCGTCCTGTGCCAAATAAAGACACAATGTTAATGAAACTCTGCTGTTTATTCCACACTCATTAGCTGACCGTGATTTGACTGATTGATGTCGACACGCGACCCATCCGCACTAAATGACGCATGTCCCATGTTGCAAGCGCAGATCTTTTTTTATAACACCATGTCAGCTGCCAGACTTTGATATCAATCGCGTTAAACACGATTGGACGAGACATTGTCAAATGTAAACATGTATTTGGCTGCGTATGTGCTTTGTCTCTAACAGGTCATGGCCATTTGAAGGCCTACTGTTATTATTAGATAGTTACTAATGCGACATTGCTGAGTGCTAGTATCATTTTTATCCGTTTTTATTAAGCGTTGGCTGTGCTTGAGTTACGGTCTGTGGATCATTTGCCACAAACAACGGCATTGTGAGCGTGTCAAAAGATCAGACCAATTATTTAAAAATCAATGTTGTGGAAGTCTCAAACTTGCACAAAAAAAACAAACAAACTTGAAAGCGCGTTTGTGTGTATTTTTGAAACCGAGTTCAAATAAAAATGGCTCATTACTTTGCATACTTGTGCATAGATTGAGATTTTGTGCTTTTCCTCATTAGTAAGTGGATGAAACGGTTGATGCATGTAAATAACAGCTCAATTTTCATGCCTACTTTTCAAGGCCTGGTGAAAACGGAACTTGAAATACACACAATGTTAAGTTTAAGCTAATATGAGAGATCCTCAAGCCTGCATCACCGTGAACAAGGGTTGATGCCAGCGCATAGTGACTGTGAATGGGACATATGGAGTTCCCCGTCAGATCTCCTGTTTAGGTAATCGCCACAGCATTAGGATGCCCAGCGAGAGGACGGACACAAGCTGTTAGTCCCCCTGATTTCCATTCCTCAGACGGTCCCGGCGCACTGCAGGTGCAATTCAGATGCATTTCACCGGCGAGGTGATTTATCAGGGTGTTCCCTCAGGAGATTTCCGAGTGCCTCGAGTCGTGTTTGGCACAGTGAAAGAGGGCTCTTACATGCATAATGCTGTTGTGTAATATATGCGCTGTGAAATGCTGTGTACTACACAGGGACGGTCCTCTCAAGTTATGTCTTCTAATAATGTTAATTTAACGCTTGAGCTGTTTTTTGGTCTTAAATAATATTCTCAAAAATGTTATTTATACATTGCTCATGGAATGTTTTTTCTTCATGGAATGTTTTTTAAATGTTACGACTTGTTTCGGAATGTTCAAAAGTAACGTTCGCAGAATGATAAAACGGAATGTTTACAAAGTGTTCAAATATCATTCGAAAACAACATTTACTTGATGGTAATGTTAACGAAACGTTTTTAGATGCTACATTTATTGTAAATAGTCTAAAAAAAGTTTTTCTTACCATAACTATCACACTTTTGCACTGTATTTTAGGATTGCCTTAGCTATTAACAAGAAATACTTGTTGGGACGGATCACTCCACTCCCCTGCCACCGGCGCTGCTGGGACGGTGGGTTTGGTTGTTAATTAAGTTGCTTGTTATGGCTTTGATGAACCTCGCGAGTGCGACGTCGTTTCACTGATGCCTGTTCTTATTTATTTAACAATATTTACTGTAGCAACATTACATTCATTGCCAAACAATTGGCATTCATATTCATGAGTTCAGGCCCCAACACTCTGCATGCATTGTGCATTCAGACTGAACTTTTTCCCAGATACGCTTTCAAGATTTGCGCTTTGAATAATAATGAATGAGTGTAGCATTCATTTATTTGTAATATGAGTGTTGTAACAGGATTTTACATGTAATTTGATGGAAACATCATTGTGGATTACTTGAAGGGGTGTGCATAAGACTGACATGACACCTTCATAACCATGACATGCACATGTCTTGAATATGAAGGAGGGTTTATGCATGTTTAAGACAACTGCCATTAAGCGTATTTCACTCAATAATGACATTTTGAATGCAAATATGACATTGTTTAAGATGTCTTTGTCATGAAAAATCATAACATCATGTCTTTGTCATGACAACTTGACATTAAATGAAGTTAAACTGTCTTGACATTGGCTGTCATAAATGTGTCATGAATATTTTTCATGTTTCAGGTTTGCTTTACTTGTCAACAACTTTTAAATGTTTTATATAGCCTAATGAGTAATAGTTGTGCATGTGAACACATTCACATACTAACATGATTGCAGTTTTTGTACAGATATGTGACTTATGACTGATTTTTTAGCTTTGAGCAAAAGGGGTCTGGGTGGTTTTGACGGCGATGTACAAAATACGGCTGATCAATAGAGTGTCCATCATAATTGTGTTGAAAAATACCAACCTTTGTACTTCTGAAAGCCCGATTCAATTACAAGCCACAGGCATTGAGATTACTTGTTTATCCAGTAGCAACATGCAGCCCCGTCCATTCAGTCCCAGTGGCTTTTGCTTGAGGTTTCGCCTTGATGTAAAAGGGAACAAAGGTAAAATCACGTCGCATTCACGCTGAGAGCTAAATTGGCGAGTGTAAATGTTTTTCTCATAAATTCGCTCTGCATCTCAGTTTGAAGTTAAAGAGAAAGACTAATGTGTCGCACAGCCCGTGAATTATCAACCGATTTTGAGCTTCATTACTCCGGAAAGACAACATTTAGATTAAAATGTAATTAAGCAACAGATGCACATTATGTTGGGTTGAGTCAGCAAGAGCGGTATTGTTAGTCTCTGCGTGTTTGTGGAAAGGTCAGAATCAGTGGCTTATTTAGACCACGAAATGCGCCACGGCATAAATCACACACCTGGCGCTGCGCTATAATGGATTGTGTAATGAAGTTGGCATTTTCATAAAGTTTTTTTTTTTTCTTCTTTTATTGAACCAGCCTTCTTAAGGTAATTTCAGCAGATGGGTTTGCTTGCGCACTGAGAACCGTTGGCATCGATGCATGAGGCCAATAAACCTTTGCACCTTCCTAAATCTATTTGATTGCATCTCTTTGTCTGGAACATCTGTGCGCGGCTGAAAGCGTGTTTTATGACACGCTATAGTGGTTTTCCTGCAAAT